AGAGAGAGAGAGAGAGAGAGAGAGAGAGAGAGAGAGAGAGAGGAGAGACAGAGCAGCCCTGGCGGCTTTGTCAGCCCCAATGACAGATGGGTGTGCCGTGTGCTGCTGCTGCTGCTGCCTGGTGTGGTTCGGACGTAGCTCAGCTAAATAACAATAAATACAGCGCACAGCAGCACGGCCCGCCCAATTGTTTCCCGCGCGCCTGCTGAGTCAGCTCACCGTGTCATGGGGGATGGCCTCATATACACGGCGTGCCACGGCTGAGCGCTATGGTGGCTGAGCGAGGTGCGCTGCTATAGCAAAGATCTGAGCTGTGTATAGGGCTGAGTGTGTGTGCGGCCGCGAGGCAGGTGCGTGTGCGAAAAGGGAAAGAAAAGGGGTGAATGTGTGTGCGCGCGCGCGCGTGTGTGTGTGCAATAAATCCTGCCGGCTCGCGTATCCATTCAGTGCAGTGACGCGCCGTCAAACGCAGGCGCACGCACGAACGCAATGCGTGCGGACGGACACACACACACACACACACACACACACACACACACCAAACACGCACGCACACGTACCCTCACACGCGCGAACACAGACACACTCGCACTCACTATAGCGCACACGTGAGCCTCTCCAAACCGCACGAGAGCGAATTAATTCCCCCGTTCTCACTTTTGCCCTTTCGGGCAGGTGCGCGGGGGTGGCGTGGCGGGGGTGCAGCGGCGCCGCGGGGCGGGAAGGGAGGAAGGGGGAGGGGGGTGTAGGTGTGCGACTGAACGGCCCGCGCGCCACTGTGCGTGAGAAGATAGTGGTCGTCGGACAGGCTTGGGGGGTGCGCGTGGGGGAAGGGCAGGGAGAGGGATGGGAGGAGCGCGAGGTCGCGACAGCGTGAAAAACATTCCTATATCGGTTTTACTATTCGGGAAACTTTTACACATGTTAAACATGTTGTAAGCTAATGATTTCAAAATAGTTGTAAATTTTTTTGAAGTGATGTATCTAGGACTCTTTGTACTATTTCGACTAGCAAAATTGGTGTGTCGTAAATTTACGATCACTAAATTTCGTATATTTTACGTCGTCGCGACGCTATTAATTTTGAATAGCAAATTTAGAAACATAATTTCAACTTGGCCAAAATATTTTTTTTCGTGGGGTACTGATGGACGCAGACGAGTCCCCGCATAGCGCCGCCGGGCCTAGGCGCCAGCGCCAGCGCACGCGAGTGTGGCCAGGAGGGGCGCCCAGCTCCTAGCGTGAGAAAGACGTCGCATTGCGAGCAGCAGCGGCTGGACAAGGGTAGGTGAGGAGGAGAAGAGGACGACAAGAAGAAAGGAATGGGAAGAACGGACCCAGCTGCCCGATAGAGGTAGTGTGCACATGCCGATGGTTAATGTGTCGGACTGGATGGACCCCCACTCACCCGCACCCACC